AAAACCTTAATTTTTAATTTCCCCTCCCCCCCCCCCCCACAGCGTGCAGTGTATACCCCCCCTCTTACAGCAGGATGCACTTCCTGCATGCTCCTTATTAGGATCTGTCCTCCATGTCCTTTCGGTAGGAGAGCTATTAGGCCCCCTCTCGCCTTTCCCTTCACTGGGAAACGCCTGGGGCAGTCGCTGCATCTTAGAGGTTATGGGGAAACACACATGAAGTCTTCATCACAAGGAGCAGATGTGAAACACCCCCCCCCCCCATGTTTTTATTCTGTTTGATCTGCTGTGATCAGAGGGGGCCGCGCTCTGACATTGCGGCGTTTTGCCCTCTTGGGGGCAGCGTTCCTAATCGCTCCTGTCGGCTTGCAGCCGCAGGGTGAGCGTAGCCTAAGTGCGGTCTGAGAGTGTTTCTGGGGGGGGGCCGCTGTACACGCCGGACCACCATGATCCCGGCTGGAAAGACTTGACCCTCTCACTTTCATTTAAACACGTTAAAAGTCTTTAAAGCACTCTGAGTGATTCTGGGGGGTGGGACCTGCCCCTCAGTCCCCAATTCCAAGCCAGTACTTCTACCTCCTGCCTCTATTGGGGGCCGGACCTCTGCCCCCCCCCCCAATCACTCAGCAGTCAGGTGTCTGGGTAGTGGGTGCCCTCCCTCCGGGCTGGGAGCGGTCAGGTACTCACAGAGGCCAGGGCCTTCCCCAGTGCGTCTCCGGTCTGGGACCCCCCTGCAGTGTTTCCACGGTTCCCCGCTGCCACAGGAGGAAAGAAAATGGCAGTTAAAGGGGCTAAACGGAGGCGGGAGTGGCACTGCAAAGACCCCCGGGGCTGGGGGGCTTACCCATGACGGTGTCAGTGGCGGCGGCGGGCGATGCGTGGGACACGGTGACGTAGGGCGAAGCGCTGGCGTTGTTGCGGTTGAAGCTGGACATGGGAGGAAGACTGGAGCTGATGTCCGTCGGTGACATGGAGTGGGGGGGGTAATTCTGTGGGAAGGGGGGTGTAGGTCACACCACACAGCCGGCATGAGGGGACAGCCACGGCTCGGCCATCCCCGCATTTAGCGACGTGAAGCAGAGTGGAAAGAACTGTGGATCGGCGTCTCCCCAGGGGCAGACCCTCCCCCTCGTGGCCCTGGAGCCGCGACCCACGGGCCACCAGCAGGCGAACAGATGAACACAGATGAGACACTGATAAGGAGCCAGGCGGGTGGCATCCACCGCAGATAATCGCCAGACATGGCGGAGATAAGCAGGAATGGAAAAGAAAGAGTGCGGATCTGATAAAGATCTACTATCAGCCCCCGGAGGGCTGGAAAAACAGGGCCGGTGATCTGATATGCCAGAGCACGGGAACGACACGCACACACGGCGCGAAACCAGAACACACACGCACACAGGGAGAACATTAACACAAGAGCCACGTGGTGCCTGCAATAATAATGACAATAAAACAGCCAACAGCCCCGACTGAATCTGGTTCCCGATGACCTCACTAAACAATGCCGGTGACCCGACCGTGACCTCTGACCGTCAGCGTCACCCAAGTGCAGAGCGCATCACAGTGAGCCGGGAGCCAGTCGGCGGCCTGGTCTTACCAGGCGCTCGTGCGAGTGCAGGTTGCCGTAGTTTCCTGACTGCGATCCTCCAAGCATCCCGCCGTATCCGGGCTGGCTGATCCCGTTAGTGGAATTCCAGGGGTCAGAGGAATTATGGGACCCGTCTGCGAATAAAAACGCACACAGACACCTCAGAATTCAAACGACGCTGCAGGTACAGCATTTACACAGGTACCCGCTGTTTACATAAAAGGGGGTTTATGACAAATGTTCACCAACAAAAAGGGGACAAAAATGTATTAATATTAATGGATGTAAGGTTACTACTTATTTACGGCTCCGCAAGAGGAGGATCATAGCAAATTTGTTTTTTTTTAGTATTATTTAATCTGCATTAATTGTGAAGCAGGACGCTGAGAGCGATTCCCAAGCAAGCCCCCGTCCCCCGCAGGGACCAGGCCGGAGCACGGCCACGGAGCAGCTGGACAAACATGGGGGCCTCCTGGTGCAACCAGATTCCGGCCGGGCGGAAAGGCCGCACCCACACTCACCCCAGAACGCCAGCGACCCTCTCTGTCGCAACACAAGTGCTCTTTCAAAGCTTTACTCCTTAAGGTAAAAAAAAAGCTAACCCAATTACCTCAACTTGCTGCTAAACCAAAGGATGGCATGTCTGTATTGTATCAACATCCAAAAAAAAGAAATTAAATTAAAAATTAAGATGAAGCTGTATTTGATCTGCATGGTGTTATCGATTCAACTGCTCTGTAACTAATGGACTTTAACATGTTCAATGTATTCAGATTCCTTATGTTTAATACATTCAGTATGTTCAAATTCTTTACGTCCAACATATTCGGTATATTCAAATGCAAATGTTCAAACTCATTTTGCTTAATATGTTTGGTATTATCAAATTCCTTATGCTCAAAATGTTGAATATGTCCAAACTCCATATGTCTAATACATTCAGTTTGTTCAAATTCCTTACGCTCAAAATGTTCACACTCTTTATGCTAAAAAATTCCTTCTGTGATAAAAACCTTTAACCATTTCACTGCCTGAAAGATGCAACAAAGCCTGACCAGGCTCCCAAACCTTAGCACTGGTCTCACATTCAGGGGGTGGTGTGCGTGCGTGCGTGTGTGTGTGTGTGTGTGCGTGCGTGCGCGTGTATGTGTGCGTGTGTGTGAGTGTGTGCATGTTTGCGGAGGGG